ATTTTTTTTTATTATTTATTATTACTATTATTCTTTTATGTGTAAGAATGTATTGCCTGCATGTTTATAAGTGTACCTGTGTCATGCAATGCTCACAGAGGTCAGAAGAGGGTGTCAGATCCCCTGGAACTGGAGTTACAGATGGTTGTTAGCTGCCATGTGGGTGCTGGGAACCAAACCCAGGTCCTCTGCAAGAGCAGCCAGTGCTCTTAACCACTGAGCCAACTCTCCAGCTTTTTGTACTTTTATTTATTTATTTTTTTGGTTTTTTTGAGACAAGATCTTCCTATGGGCCCAGCTGGCCTGTAACTATATAGACCAAGGTTGGCCTCTCAGAGATTCACAGTGCTGAGATTACATGCCTAGCTGAGACCCAAACTCTTAACAGCCTATGTGGCTCTACAGCTCAATTCCATCAATTCTTGCCATGGGTCTCACATCATCGCACACTAAGCACTTTGCCCTCCAGGGCTGTTTCCTGCTCACCACCGATCCAACAGGACACAGCTCTCTCTGCTCCAGCCATATTGGCCCTTTTCAGCTCCACACTTCCTCTTGCCACGGGGCCTTTGCATGTGCTCATCTTCCCTGGACCCCATGTTTGCCCGGCAAACTCATCCTATGGGTCTCACTTGAGACAAGGTCTCCCTGTAGTCCCAGCTGGCCTAGAACTCACTATGTAGACTAGGCTAGCCTTGATCTCACAGATCTATAGCCTCTGCTTCCCAAATTCTGGGATTAAAGGCATGCACCACCACGTCCTATTTAACCTATGGCCTGAGGAGACAGGGATCCTGCATAGCAAACACTGCTGACACATGTCCTCGAGTCCTGCCTCTCTCTGGCCACCCTGTGAGGCTGCACACTTGTTAGAGGATGTTTGGCACTGAGATTCTTCATGGGAACACTTACTCTAGCCTGGGAGTCAGACCGCTATTTGACCTTCCAATCTAGGCTGAAACTCTTTCCATTAAGACCCAGCCACATGCTTCACCAGTCCTGAGTTCTTGCATCATGCTTTGGGGCCGGCCTACCTTTTGGCTTTGCAAGCTCCATGCTACCAGCAAGATGGGCTCACGAATGTGTTACCGCACTCTATCTTGGCCAAAAAGCCGAGAACCAAGGAGTGAAGAGGTTGTGACAGAGAGGAAAAGCACAGCAGTGCAGTGACCCTCCTGCAGATGGGAACCAGGACCAGCACTGCGGCCAAATAGCAAGGGTCGCTCTGGCCTGGAGGGCGACTACACTCCTAGAACATCTCAAGGGGGATGCTTGGGCTTTTGAAAGAGCCTCTATAGATACAAAAACAAGAAAAACATACCAACTCGTGAACACAGAGCTGGTATCATGTGGGCCCTGGGTGGCATGGGCCAGGCAAGCAGAACCTGCTCTTACATAGTGCTGGAAACCTTCACTTCCTGTCAGAGCGCAAGAGAAGACCTACCTACTGGCATTAAAAACTACTCATCTCGCTGGTTGTGGTGGTGCCAGCCTTTGAGCCCAGCCTTTGGGGAGGCAGAGGCAGGTGGATCTCTGTGAGATCGAAGCCACCCTGGTCCACATTATGACTTCCAGGTGGGCGATGACTAGGGAGACCCTGTCAACACACAATATCAAAAAATAGAACAAAAAACGAACAAAAAAACCTACTGATCTCGAAAGATAATAGAAGCAATTGGGGCCAGACTAACTAAGACTTTATTCTGATCTTGAAGGCCCAGGGTGGCTTTGGGAGGGGACGGGGATGGAGAGTGAAGAGATACCCACTGTCTATCTGGTCAACTCAGGGACTTATGTAGCTGCCAGACCTGGTCCTGAGCTTGGACAAGGGTTGGGGGCCACTAGGCAGACCTCCATACCATGCTAGCAACAGGTTTCTTTATGCAGTGAGTGTGACTAAACTCTGTCAAGCTTCTTGGATATGCTGTAGGAGATGGAGGGGCCATGGGCTGGCTTTCCCTTGGGTGGGTCTGTTGAGTGTGCACCCACCTGCCCCCCTCACAAACTGAGCTGAAACACCCTAGCCTGTGCTGAGGGACACTTACCAGCAGAGGAGCCCAGCCACCACAGCCGTCCAGGTGACGCAGCACGAGCCTCGCTGCTTGGTCTGCACCGCATGGTCCCGCCGGCAGCAGCAGGCGCACACCAGGTAAATAGCGAGGAAGGCAAGATTCAGGCCCAGGCCAATGGCAACCAACACCCCCAGGAACAACAGCGACTACAAGAAGGAGGGGAGGTGTCAGCTCTTGTCCCAGCAATGGGGGAGTTCCAAGGGCACCCTTCTGCCCATCCCTCTAAGTAAACAGACTACCTGGCACTTAAGTACCAAGGTAGGGAGTGATGGAGAAACAAGTGAACTCAGAGATGTGAAGGGTTGGTGAGCGAGGACCACTGCTGTAATGGTTAATATTGATGGTCAACTTGACAGGATCTAGAATCACCCAGAGGATGGATCTCTGGGCATGTGTGTGAGTGAGATTCTAGATTAGTTTGGTAGAGGTGGGAAGACCCACCCTGAATGTGAGTGGCACCATTCTGTGGGCTGGGGTCCCAGGCTGAATTCAAAAAGAGAGTAAGCGAGCTGCGCACCAGCATGCATCTCTCTCTCTCTCTCTCTGCTTCCTGACTGTGGATGCCATGTGACCAGGAGTCTCATGCTCCTTCTGCCAGGCCTTCCTTGGCATGATGGGCTGTAACCCCTCACACTCTGAGCCAGAGTAATCCCCTCCCTCCCTATTTTGTCAGGAATTCTGTCACAGCAACAAGGAAAGTGACTAATACAGTTGAATGGTTGGCCCAGGTTTCGGGATGCATCAGGGTAGGCTTGATGATAAGCTCTGGGCCACTCAAGAGAGAAGCGAGGAACTAGCAGCTAGAGAGAGATTTGTGGGCAATCAGAACTGTGGCCATGGGAGACAGACAGGAAAAGGATATTCATGAGGACCAGAGAATCCAGGGGCCTGGGTAGGCTGTCCAGGGTACCAAGTAGAGATGAGTCAGGGCCATTAGAGATGGCTAGCACATCTGCTGGTGCCTCCATACCCAGGCCCCCATCATGCCAGGCCAGTCCAGTCCTATTCTATGCCAGAATTGAATGTGCTTGTTCTAGGAGCTAGGGCCATCCAGAGTCCCAAGAACCTGGCTCTGTGCTGGGGGATGGGTGACAGAGGTGCAGGCAGAGGAGCCAGGATGGAGAATTACCCATGTTCCTCTTGGTGCATCTTCCCAAGGACAGGTGACCCAGGCTCCAGTGGTAGCAGGAAGGCCAGAATTTTGAGGGGGGCAAGGATTCTTCTTCAGCCTCACCTAGTAGCTCGGGTACCTCAATGAAAGATGCTGCTGCTCGAGATGCCTGGGTATACCCCTCCACCACATCTTCCAATCCCTCCATTTGGCCAGATGGATACCAGATGGCTCCAGGATCAGTGGCCGCCAGCCAGGGCTCTAAGTCAGGCTCCTGAGCTGGCAGACCCCCACCCCCAGCCCCTTCCCATGATGCCTCAGAGATGCTTCATCCAGAGTCCCCAGTGCCCCCGTGGGGGTCACTTCCCCAGAGCCTTTGTCAGGGAGCCCGTGCTGGTGGTAGCCACCAGCACAGCAGGACCCCAAAGCCTAAGGGGACGACAAGCCAGTGTCGGAGAGTAGAGGGAGGTGATCTAAGGCACAGAGGCAGGCACTGGGGGCTGATGCCTGTGGCCACTTTCTGAAGGCGACCTATGCCCCTTCCCAGTGCTTGTTTAGCAGTCCAGCCCTGTGAAGACACAGGCAGCCCATGGGACCCCTGACTTGGGCTGGGCAACACTCGGGCACCAAGCAGAACTCTCCCTTCATCTTCTACTCAGCTATGAAGGAGCAGCCAGCAGCTCTGAGCACAGGACCCCACACAGCCCTGGAGATGTGGCAGGGGGCTGGGCTGGCTGGTGCTATCTCTTTCTCTAGCACTTAGCACCACCCCCCAAGAGGCTCCTGCCCAGTGAGACAGTGGGAAGTCACTGCCTGCTTTCCTGGAATGCATCTTCCACGCAAAGGAGGCTGGGGGAAGGGACGCTTTAGAGACTCACTACTGAAGTCACCAAACTGCAACCTGATCTGGGGAAAGAGGCAGGCCCACATTAGGCAGCAGAGTTGGAGCTATGTGGCTCAGAAGGTAAAGTGCTTGCCTAGCATGCATGTAGCATTCATAAAGCCCTGGGTTCCATCCCTGGCTTTGCATGAAACCAGGCATGGTGGTACACACCTGTCATCCCAGCACTTGAGAGGTGGAAGCAGGCAAGGTCATCCTAGGGTACATGAGTTTGAGGCCAGCCTGGACTACATAAGACCCTGACTCAAAAGTCAAAACAGAACTAGAGCTGATCCCAGGCCATCTGTATCCTGCTCAAGCCCGGAAGCAATGGATGGATTAGTGTCAACACAAGTTAACAATCTTTCTTCAAGGCATGGTGGCACACGCCTTTAATCCCAGCACTTGGGAGGCAGAGGCAGGCGGATTTCTGTGAGTTCCAGGCCAGCCTGGTCTACATAGTGAGTTCCAGGCCAGCTGGGGCTACAGGGAGACCCTGTCTCAGAAAAA